AATCTGCCTGCCATTTGCGCAATCGAAATACCACGCTGGGTAAATTTCGTTCCGGGGCAAGACACCCAAATACACGGGTTTTGCGATGCTTCGGAGAAAGCATATTGTGCAACAATTTACATCCGTACATTTGCTAACAATGGAATAACGTCCACCCTTCTGGTTGCAAACGGAAAGGTAGCACCATTCCAAACGGTAAGCTTACCACGCTTAGAGCTGTGTGGCGCATTACTTTTAGCAAAACTGGTTGCAACCATTCAAAGACAACTCAGTTTACAAGCGTGCAACATATTTCTGTGGTCAGATTCTGAGATCGTATTGGCATGGCTCGAGAAATCATCATGCACATGGAAGACCTATGTATCAAACCGCACCTCTCAAATCCGAGAATATGTTCCAAGCGTAAGGCGTAAGATAGCAGCATATCACGCGCTTGAAGATGAGCCCGACTATCTAGATTGATTCTCCTCATGCTCCCGAGCGATCCGCGTGACTGCATATATGTTCCGTTTCCTGGACAACGTCCGAAATAAGTCCAAGGGGCAACCATTACTCACCTTGCCACATCTGACACATAGTGAATGCCAAGCCGCAAAGAAGCGCATCATCGACATTTCTCAGAAGCGCTATTTTCCTAGCGAAAAAGATGCCTTGCGAGCTAAAACAACTATCAACAAAAAGAGTTCACTACAAGTTCTGAATCCATTTTTGGATAAAGATAGATTTCTTCGTGTGAACAGTAGATTGGCACATTTCAGGCTGGGCTACAATGAAAGACACCCACTCATACTCCCAACTAAATCGAGGTTCTGCCAACTATATTTGAAGTTTATGCCCGAACTGCTTCTTCACGCAGAGACACGTTTGATGCTTCAAATGGTCGGGCAAGAGTTCTTCATTCCGAAGCTCAAGCCTCTGATTAAAAAAGTGCATTTTTAAATGTAAGCCATGTACGCTTCACAAGCAAAAGACACACACGCAAATAATGGCCGCTCTACCCCTTGAGCGTTGTACATTCACACTTCCATTTTCTACAACGGGAGTAGACTTTGCAGGGCCATTTCAAATAAAAGCTTCAGTCTTGAGGTCGAACACCTATTTCAAAGGCTATGTTGCAGTCTTCGTCTGTTTTGCAACGAAGGCCGTGCATCTTGAGCTATGTTCAGATTTGACAACTGAAGCATTTCGAGCAGCGCTTGCACGTTTCGTCGTTCAACGAGGATTTCCATCCAAAATTATGAGCGACAACGGCAAAACGTTTATTGGCGCCCATCGCGCTATACAACGCGACTTCGTTAAATTCCTTAACGAATGCTCCGCTGATATAGTCCAAAAATATGCTCCTCAAGGCATAAATTGGCACTACATTCCTCCCAGCGCACCCCACATGGATGGCTTATGGGAATCAGCAGTTAAAAGCTTTAAAATTCATCTCAAAAAAACCGCTGCATACCATAAGTTACTATTAGTGCGAATTGAGGCAGTTCTCAACTCGAGACCTCTATCAGCTATCTCGCAAGACACCGCTGACCTCACTGCACTTACTCCTGGTCATTTTATCCGAGGTGCACAGCTAATGGCCATCCCCGAGCCAAACGCAATAGACCTTTCATTGACCAATCGATGGGAGAAGATTAAAGTCCTTCACCACGAATTCAGTCGACGCTGGAAGGAGGAATATCTCAAAGATCTTCAGAAGAGATACAAATGGAAGAATCCACAGCGAGATCCTCAGCCAGGCGACTTGGTAGTAGTCAAAGAAGACCCACCACCACCCACCGAGTGGTGACTCGGTCGAATTGAAGATGTTCGCCGTGGACCTGATAATTACAATCGAGTATTGGATGTACGTACCCAAAACAGGGTTATCACGCGCCCACTTGTCAAGTTGTGCTTTTTCCTAATGAGCACCCTTAGCTCAAATGATAGCATAACCAAAAATAAAACAAAACCTCCATTTGTTTCAGGGAAAAACTATAAATCCATCCAGTTTCCCCTAATACTGTCCGCACTATTTTTTGATCTTTTCGGCGGCCGCTCGAGCTAACGAAAAATCTTTCTAAAACCAACAGTCCTCGCTCGCGAACGGCAGCTTTAAACCGCGACCTCATGACATTTTATATATTCAATAATTTGCCACAAATACTTTAGTTAAAATACCTTGTGAAATAACATTAAGTGAATTTTTCATTAAAATAATTTGTGAACAATTTTAAATCGAAAAAGTGTTTTTTATTTAAACTGTGGGCCCGCTCGACAGCCGGCATCCCCTTACTTCCCCTCAAGTCCTTAGCGACTTTGAGCAATCGGAAGCCGTCTTGCAGCGTACTTTTATTACTTTCATAAAAGTCCAGCACCTTTTTTAATTTTACTACATATAAGAACTTCGCTACATCAGAAACATTAATGAAACGCTGGTTTGAGTGATTGATGATACAGGACGTACTGGACTACCAAACTTAGTAAATTGAGATAGCTCTGTTTGTGCCACGTTTTCTCACTATTGTCCAAAAATGTGCTTGTGATTCTGAGCAGTGTTTTCCCGACGATATTTGGCAATATGGCTGACTTCCTCAACGCCAGTTGCTAAGCAAATATGAAATAAATTTGAAATTTCATAAAAAATGTCGTGACCACTTTTCACCAAGTACCGTACTCCAGAAAAGATGAAGAATGCATCTTTTCTATTGGCGTTCCCACCACTTACGCAATTGTAGCCGAAGCAATATTACCGCACCATGCATTTTTTCTTATCGCTGTCTGGGGCCAGTTGGAAATACCAAACGATCCTTCCCACGAAAAGAAGTCTTTCTCTTTCTCTGCTTCCACTATAGGGTAATGCATCGCATGCTTTCAAAGCTGGAGTGTTTTAATTCATTCGAACGACATGACCTAGCCAGCCTATCCGCTGGCTCTTCATTCGCTGAACTATGTCAATATCCTCGTATAGCTCGTACCGCTCGTACAGCTCATCGTTCCATCGTATGCGGTATTCGCCGTTGCCGATGCGCAAAGCACCATAAATCGTTCGCAAAACGTTTCTCTCGAAGACTTCGTAAGCCGATTCATCAGCTGTTGACACGTCCGAGCCATATAGTAGGACGGGTATGATGAGGGACTTGTAGAGTCTGGCTTTCGTTCGTTAAGAGAGAACTTTACTATTCAATTGCCTACTTAGTTCAAAGTAGCTCCTGTTGTCAAGAGTGATTCTGCGTAGGATTTCAAGGCTGACATTATTATTGGTAACGATTCTGCTTTGAAGGTAGACGAAATTATCTACGATCCCGAATTTATGACTGTCAACAGTGACGCGGGAGCCGAATTCGATGACTGTTTGATTGATGACAGGAGATATTTCGTCTTGTCCTCGTTCACTACCAAACCTATTGGCATCGGTTATGACTGCGCTTCTGAAGTTTTGGGGGATACCAAATTCAGACATACGGCGCATGACGACGAAGAAGAGGTGTGTGTTGAGCTTCTTTCCACGGGGTTTTTTCCAAGATTTGTCGCATGGTGATCCAACTGCTCAATGGTTGACTTATCAGGTCTAAAGCCACTCTGGTAAGATCCAATCAGTCTGTTGACGGTGTCTTTCACTCAAAATGCTCGATAGGATCTGACAAGCGATGTTGAGAAGTCTTATCCTTCGGTAGTTGGCGCAAACCTCGTTTGGTATCGAACGGTTCGGAGAGGACCTTCCTGATCTTTACAGATCTTTTAGAGCTGCTAATGTCAGTTAACATAGCCATATAATTTTTGCGCGGATATCGGATTCAAGCATTGCAGCGTAGAGGCGCAGACTGTGAAATCGCCTTTTTGTGGGATGGGCAGAGCACATTTAGGATTCAATTGTCGGGCATGCTTTTTTCCGATCATATTTTTCAAACAAGCCGATGCATGCACCTTATCAATTCTTCACCGTCGTATTTGAATATCATCATCATAGTCGGGCAATGAAACTTTTGTTAGGGGCTCACCATCTCCTGGTGTAGCACTTTCACTGCAATTCAGCAAATGGGAGAAGTGTTCCCACCAAAAATTCAATATACTCTGCATCAGTAACTAGATCACTTCTTTTCTTTTTTTGCTGCAAATGAGTCTTGCTTCGCTCTTCAGCTTTCGATAACTCTCCAATGCTCCACGCAGCCTTTTTTCTCTCCGCTGCGTCGCGGAAATTCTCATCGTACCACATATTTTCGACAAGCACAAATTGGGAGCAACGCTCATGAGTACACTCATAAAAGGTTATCCATGGTCACATCGTCGTTCCCTTTTTCTCTTAGAAAATTTTGTTTTGATGCGGATTGTAGCGAGAAGTTTATTCACCAAGGTGAATGCGGCAGAGTTTCTCTCTCATCACGAATCCAACACTAAATTTGCGCTCCTATATAGAACCGCTGTAGTAAATGTCACAAAAAGCTACTCATTTCTGTACATCCCTGACATCAACCAGCTGTGCAGCGACAGTCCCTGCAATTGTGATCCTTAACTCGTATGTGGGGGTCATCAGCGGAAAGAGGGTATTTCAACCCAGTCATAATTAATTTTTTTCATTAGAACTACTCCGTACGTGGCAGGTTCCAAACCCAGTGCACAACCTAGCTAGCCGAGTAAATTTAAAGTTTTTATACGTTTATATAGCGGGGCGCTTGTTTCGCTGAATTTAGACTTCAGCGAACCCTTAAACCGAATAGGTCGGAGTGGCTTCACTAAAGCTTCCTATCTTTCCAATCTTTTAGCCAATCTTTTAGCCTCGACCCAAGGCTCCACACGGGTAGATTACAGCACGTTGCACAAGGGTTGGGACAGTAACTGCACACCCATACGCTTGACTACAACCTATTACACATCTTTGTAAAATTAAGTTTTAAAAGAAGTTTTGTTGACATTTTGATTAATAAACTCGATTTTGGAACAAAATACCATTTTTTATTTGTCCCGGGACTCTTCAGCACAGACAATATATTTATATATTAATACCTAAATATACTACTTACCGATATTAGGATGGTGAAGCTTTCTGCAAATTCTTGCTTCTCGTTCTAATTTCTGAAAATCTACAAAAACAAGGTGTTATTATAATAAATTAACAATATCAAGACCACATAAAACTTAAATAGTTTATCTGATCCCCTTTTCAATAAGACATACTAATTACAAAATTGGTTAAAGTTATAAAGGCTGCATTTTTAAATAACATTCAGGGATGTTCCAAAATCGGTTTGGAATTGATTTCGCATAGTTTTGAATTTCCGACTAGGAATCAAAAAGGAGTTCTGCAATCCTGTCGGAATTGAAAAATCCGAGCAAAAAGTACATTAGTGTTTCGACCCAGTGTATATGTATTTGTTAGGTAATATATATTTAGCTTTAAGGGCGTTAAATTAAAAACAAAAGCATTTGTTTTCTTTTTTTGATCGACCCCTTTCAATACAATAAATACATCGTTTTTGTTTTTTTTTTTTTGTGTGCGTTTGCTTAATATCTTCATAACAGCTTTACCATTTTAATGAAAATTTGTGACTGTGTATAAGAGGTATTGAGGATTATTGAGTTATTGTATTATATGTATATACGAGTTTATACTTGTATTTATTTATTACTAATTATTTCGTATAGTAAGCAAGTTTTTTTTTTTAATTAGGCAGCAGGAATAAATTAAGTTATTCGGTCTAACGGAAACAACAGCCTAACATTTATTTGCTTGCCAAAAGCATTTTCCCGCCAGCTAGGAAGGGGATGATTGCTGCATTCTAGCGCTATCCCTGACGTAGATTTAAGATTCTTGTCACCCAGAGTGAACGTTGCTAACGAAAATGACTGGGGTATTATTGATGTAGGTAGTTTAGATACTGAAAAAGACAATGCAGAACTAGGCAACAAAAATTTAAGTCCAATACTTCTTCCTTCACCGAGAGTAGAAAGCGTTTCCACTTCAATTGGCCTTTCCATATTTCTCTACTTTAGGAATTCCTTATATAGTTAGAATATGGACAAAAAGTTGGCAGACTCAAACAAGTAGTTATTTATCGAAAAAAATTCCCAGAAAAAGAATATATCGAGAAGGGCTAAGTGTAAAAAATCAGGAAATCGTACATTTTCGCAATAAGGTAAAGTGTTTCAAAAGGATAGGTTGTCTGTAGTTGGGCAGGACGAAAATTGACATGATGCAGAGCTTTGCTGCAAATTACCTCCACAAGTTCCTATATGTGTGAGGAATTGCTTGAAATTTACAACCCGGAATCGAAAGGGTTATAGATTTGATAGGGGACTGAAAACATTAGCTCTGGCAGTAAAAGTCTTATAATCTATTGCATGTAGATATTTAAAGCCTCTTTTGCAATTGGCCATCACAAGTACCTCTTGAACAATTCGTTCGCAATTCAAAACAATTCGTTCAAGCTTGGCCCCAATACCTTGGCAATTATAGCAGTATTAAAGCTCTGGAACTGAGAAGCCGTGGCTTCACGGAAGCACAGAGTTATGTTTCGATATGTTGTGAAGAAATGTCTCCCAAAAAAAAAAACCTACCTCCAAAGTAGTTACACGTGTTTTAGGGATTTTCGTTCAAAGTAAAAGCAAAGGAGATATTATAAAAAGATATATTTTCGAAGCCATTGGTCAGCTCCAAAGTATTGATTTGCGTCCCTGCCAAATAGTCACTGATCAAGGATGAAATTTTTTTAATTTTTCAGTAACAACCGTTTTTGAAGTGGATGGCCATAAAATATTTTATTTCTTCGACGCACTGTATCTTCTAAAAAGTACACGAAACTCTTAAGAGAATAAGAAAAATGGGGTTTCTTTTCTCGTTTATGTAAATGGCACTACTAGCAGTATTCGTTATACCCATAAGCTAACTTCAGCTAATTTCGCCCCTAAGCCCTTCCAAAAAGAGAGTTTTCAGCTAACTTTCAATTAGTTTCATTCTTGAGGAAGTGCAATGTCCGGAAGTCTTAATAGTTCTAAGTCGCAATCCTTTATTAATATTTTTAATAGTAATGTTTTTGGAGAAGTGGGAATTTCAAGGAATCCCTTTCAGCAACTGCGGATCAACAAAATTTTTTTGAGTAAGCCGAAATTTTCCTGAATTCTATTCGGGTGCATGATGCCTTTGGCCGCGACCTCACGAATACTTTCAGTTTCATAAAAGGTTTATCCCTTAATATAAGCACCGTCCGTTAATAAGGGGAATTGCGAACTCTTGCCAGAAAACCAGTCTGTACTGACGTTTTGGTTTGAGATACATCTTGGCAAACATTTCAAGGATTTTTATTGACCGAAGAGAAGGAATACAGCATTTTTCAAATGGCAAAACTTTCAAATGAGATTATTAACTCTATTGCAGGTGTCGAAAATACCTTCATAGAATATTTCGTTTCTACATGTCATAAAATAAGCATAATAATTAAAATTAGAAATTAGTTGCAAAGCAACTATACATTGTCACTCTTTCCTAATTGCAACTGTGCAAACTTTGACGATCAGCCCTATTCTCTCTAGGTAACAAAATTTACCTTGGTATTAATATTTACCATTCAGTAAATTTTGTTACCATTTCGTATTCTGAGCTCACTGTTACCCTGTAAATTTTTTTACCAGCGAAATAGGAGGTAACAAAAATATTGGCTGTTGGATTTTGTGTTGTAAGTTTGAGAAAAAATAAAAAACCAAAATGGGTAGGTTTATATTAAGCCTGGAATTCATTGAAGATGAAAGTGGAAAAAAAATAGGTCTCTTATTTGTAAGATAACGTTTTTATTCAGCTTTTTTTGTTGTCCAGGCATATTTTCCATAATTAGGTTCAAATATTTATGATTCAATACACAAATTAATAAATCTTTTTAATTTTTTTGTGCACCGTCTTCCATTTCGATGTGAATATTTTTCTTTTTACTTTATGAACTGGCAAATGTAATTTGACATGGACGAATAAAACAGTGCTGCCAAATTTTTTTCAAACATTGTAACCTGTTCGCCAGAATACCAAATTCAATTTCGGGTGTTAAAGAAAAGTAAAAAAATTAACTTTACCGGTAACAGTGAGAATAGGCCTGGATGTGTCATTTTCCAAAATGCATTAGCAGAATTATTGATGTGCAAACAAAAGCAAGCTGCGCATGGCTAAGATGTGTTTTGATGCTTTATTTTAACATAAATTCTTAACAACAACGACCGGTGTCGGATAGCAAATTTTTTGCGCAAATTTTTTTTAAACGTTATATCACTGATTTCTTTGATCTGTTTCATATTTTAGCCATTTCACCGAAAATCAACTTATTTGCACCAAAAACGTTCCAGTTTACATCAGAGTTTTCATATTGTTGCGAAAATGCGAGGCGAATGTCAGATGAAAGAGAGAAGCCGATAACTAGTACGTTCTAGAAACGATAAAACAAGAACCTTCCATAGCGAACAATTCGATGCTTCTACACTTTCGTCTGCGAGCAGCCGACTGCTATATAAAGGCGACACTCAGCTGCAAGTCAAGT